CCTATGGTGAAGGATAAAGCAGGGAAGGTGGGCAGCTCCTAGAATTATAGACCTATTGCACTCAGTAATATTCTTTCAAAAGTTGCTGAAGAACTTCTTTTGAATAGGTTTCACAATCTTATTAGCTCTACTGCAAACCAATTTGGGTTTAAAACTAGCCATGGCACTGACATGTGTAGTAGCAGTAATCTAGGTACATATGTGTGAGTATTTTTTTCTTTCAGCCATTTTAAGCAAATTTAAGGAAGTTACACCACAATTTTTTAGTTTGTAAAAAATAACCTGTAGCAAATTTGAGCTACATTCATTCAACACAGCCAAAATGGCTTGCAAACTAAAACGCAAATGTTACCACGTCACCTAAGGCCACATAAGGGTTAAACACCTCCACACATTTAGTCACGAACGCCAGGATGGGTTTAGACTGTTCTTTATATGGCAGGTGTGAAACTGTAACAACACCATACATGCATAAGTAAACTGAAAGGAAATACATAAAACACAGCTTCCAGCAGATAATGCTAATCAAAACGCACGACTTAACTAGGTCACAACAAATAAACTATGCATGGATATGCTAAATCCCTTAAAAATAATTAGCTTATAATAACGTCAACTGCTCGAATCTTGTCATTTTATATCTGATGTTCGTTCTCATGTATTATTGTTACATCAATACAGACAGAGAATGTCTTTCAAGCACTTACTAGAGAGATTTGATTTGATTTGATTTATTCTTTCAAGCATGCAAAACAGTTGATATGACAACACACATAATTTTACACATATCCACAAATGCTAATCCAATATCAATTTGCTTATACCTAGTACATGATTGAACGGAGTAGGAAGAAGTCAGACTTATCTAGTCCTACCCCATGACATCATCTTACCATCATTGGTTTGCAAGCAGTAAATGATTCACTTCTACACCACACAAGTAATATACTAAAGAATTATTACAAAGTGTTAACATTCATACACCACACCCACAATGTTCCATCTAATTAATCATTAAACCTGTTCTTGCATATATCTTGATTGACACATACCTTTATATTTATGTTTAAACTCATCAATTCTATTACTATTTTTTATGTCTACACTTAAATTATTCCATAGTTTTACCCCACTTATGGAAATACAGAATCTTTTTTTGGTTGTACGTATAGCATGAATTTTTAAATTTAACTGACCCCTTAAATTGTATCCCCCTTCCCTTTCATTAAATAGTTTTTGAATTCCACCAGGTAATAAATTGTTCCTGGCTTTATACATAGACACAGCAGTCTTATATCCCACTAAATCAAAACATTTTAACAATTTAGACTGTATGAAAGCTCCATTGGTGTGACCGTCGAAATAACACAACCACTGCTAACTCTTGCTCTCTTATTTACCACCGCGTTATGGCCTCGTTGTGCACTTCATGTCTCACTTAAATGGCCAGCACACATAACTAAACTAAGGCTATGTAAAAGCCAGAACAATGACTGTTATGTTTATCTTGCTGAGGAGCCAAATTTCGCTGTCCCAGTTTAAAAAGTGTGAGGCGTGTTCTTTTATACTGAAAAGAGAAGACTAATAACAGGATATATATTTCACAGTGTGAAATTTATTATCCTCCGTGTCCAGAGATCCGGTCGTCGAGGCCCCTGCCTTCGACTGCTGCCCAATCCACTATGCACCGGCCCCTTATGGATCCCCCTGCAGGTGGTGGGCCCACGGGAAGACGTCCCCACATCACTTGTTCGGGCTACGCCCAGCCGAGCCCCGTGAAGGGAGGCCCAGCCACCGGGCACTCGCATTCGAGCCCCAACCCCGGTTCGCCTCCAGTGGCCACAGCAAGAGCAACTAAGACAGTTTGATAAATACAGTACATTTGTATACTGTTCTACGTCCGTTTTAATGTTCAGAGTCTTACTAATCTTACTAATCTCACTAATCTCACTAATTGTACCAGAGATTCAGTTGTTGGGTTTCAGGAGCAACTGGCAGCCACTTCTCTTATGTCGTATCAGAACAGATTGGCATTAGACTTGATTCTGGCTGAAAAAGGGGGTGTTTGTACTATGATTGGGCAACATTCCTACATTTCTAATAGCACTACTCCTGATGGCTCCTTTGCTAGGGCCCTGACAGGGTTAAAAATTTTATCAGAGGAGATGGGTGACCATTCAGAAATTAAAAATTACATTGATGATCGGTTTGTTAAAATTTTTGGCAAGTGGAAAAATGTAACGATTTCTTTGCTACATCTTTTGTGGCAGCAGTTACTTTGCTGACCCTGTGTGCCATCCCCTGCATTAGGCATATTTGTCTAAAGTCTATCACCACTACCATTGATAATAGATACCCCTTGACTCCTGCCTATGAGATGGTTCAATACCACTCTCTACGGGAACTGTGAGGCATGTTCTTTATATTGAGGAGAGAAGACTAATAAAAGGATATTTCACAGTGTGAAATTTATTATGCATTAACGTATCAAAATTAGCATGTGCACATGGATCTTCACTGTTTAGGATAAACAGAAAAGACTGTCCTCAACTTGTCGGTATACAATATTTGTATGAAAAGGTGCTACTATCTGATTGGTCAAAAACTGTTGGGGAGAAGCTGTGGTTTAGACTTAACTCTCCCGTCATTGGTCCCCCAGTCCTTGTCTGATCTCGTCCTTGGCGCGACCTTGTCCTGAAACAGACATTTTGCACAACCCACAACGCTTCTTGCAAACAGTCATCTCAGCAACCCTGAGACTGCACCTGGACTTGTTTTCCTGTTATCTAAGTCCAAGTCTCTGTGCTTTGTCACACACACAAGCATTTTAGAGGAGGAGGAACACCTGGCACTGCCTGTGTGTGCATGAAATCAGCTATTTTACTTGGCAGCTGTTTCTTCTAGACCAACATCTGACCATAACCTTGGTGTAAATCTTAGTATCTTATCAAACCCCAACTCCCCTGGCTTCAAGGCTCAGAGGGCTTTTAGAAAAGGCAACAAATCTAATGAAAGGCTGTGGGATGATTAGACCTTGGAAAGCCACTCAGTGCACCAGAGTTTTTAATCGCAAGAGCCTGCAATATAACACAAGTTTTCAGTGTATCCTACAGAAACTTACTTTCTCTTTATTTTAGTGAAGATATAATTGGGTGAAAAGTAATTACATAAACATATCTTTGACATACAAGTATGTATACTTATGTGTGCTATAAAATAAAACCATTCATAAGTGCGTAAAATAAAAATCACCCTAACAAATGCACTATTGGTTCAGGCATCACGCAGCTGTCTGTAATGGGGTTGAATACTGGGAACTGAGAGACTAGTTTTTCCAGAAAATTCTCCACAAAACCTGTTACATGTTCCCAGAAAAAAGAGAAACGTGTGTACATGTTGTGTTGCATTTGCACTTGTGCAGTCGAACACAGGAATGATTTTAGTGTGCACTGGGTTTTCCTCCTTCCTCTCTTTAAATGTAAAGCTTTAGCTGTTGTTTATCATCTGTCTAACACTGTGAGCTGCATTTTGAGGATCAGAACTGTTCACCATCATCCTTAAAGAAGCCTTCTCCAAAGCCTGACTTTCACACATCCGCTGTCACAATGGTGTGAACTTAAATTGCACCATTTACAGTAATAACTGGATCCGCTTTTCTTCCAATACCTTTCAGTGATAAAATGGCAGTTTATACTTTAGTTGAGTGACAAAGTACGACGTAAATCGGGTAAATGAAGCAGAGCAAAACATTTGTAGGTGTAAACGGCTCAACTTAGTGAACCTGTAGACCGCCATCCTCAGGTCAGCGCACACTTGTGAACAAAGCGTTTGCACAGCAGACAGAAGCACAGCTTAACTGGCAACATTAGAAGAACTGCTTTCCATTGAGGCGAGGAGTTCAGGGGTTGTGATATTGTGCGTCGAACATCACTGGTACACCAAGCAGCTGTTACTGAAATTTCAAAATGTCTCAGTCAACTTTATTGTCACTGCAAATACAGTATATCGCAATGAGAGTAGAGAATCACTTTCCATCTTGGTATACACGACAGAATTTCTCCACCTCATAAATAGTGCACTTTTAATCTACCACCAAATCTTACAACTATAAAATAATAACAAGACCTTTTTGTTGATGAATTATTGGCAGCTGAGGTGTTAAATCAAAATCAAATCAAATCAAATTTTATTTGTATAGCGCCAAATCACAACAAAAGTCATCTCAGGACACTTTACAGAGTAAGGTCTAGACCTTACTGTTAAATATTATTACAGAGGGAAGGAGGAGAGGAGACACTATGGGAGAGAGAGAGGACACTATGGGGAAGAGAGAGAGAGAGAGAGAGGACACTACGGGGGAGAGGAGACACAGTGACGAGTAGTGGTGGCATATAGATGGATGGAGAATGTAGAGAGGAGGGGGGAGAGGAGAGGAGAGGGAGAGAGGCTCTACACCATGGGCCCCCCTCAGCCTAGGCCTATAACTAAAGGATGTTCCACCAAACCAAACCCATCCTAGAATGCATGTCCAGTAACTCCATAGACACCAGTACATGGGCCTGAGCGACGGCCCACCTGTTGACTAGAAGGCACTGATACAGTTAAACATGCTCAGTGGCAACAGGATGGCCCAGGCCCCGTTTGCTTGACGTTACCAACATGGCTGTTGGTCTCATCCCTGATCAGCCACATTAGTTGTTATGATGCTATGAATTATTGGACATATCACAACATACGAAGTACCTTTGTACCCTCCCTCAGCTTCCTACTAGGAACAAAACAACCATTTTATATTAACCTACTGCTTGCAGCAGGTTTAGCAGCAGAGTACAGCGATATAAAATGTGTTTGTGAGGACAAATAAGCAGGTTCTGTCTGCTGATAATTTCTTCTGTAGTTTGGACACAAGATGGTGCCATGTCTCTGCCTGGTGGTTTGATCTTCAGTTATATGAACACAAGAGGATGGACGCACTGTAAAAATAATTTTCTTTATTGGGAAACACAAGAAAAACAGGTAATAAATACAGGAAAGGACAGAATTGTCATTTACCTTCCAAATTAGACAGGGACAGCCCGACAGCTGGCTGTAGGACTGAGCTTCCCCAGACCCATACATGTCCTGTTGATCACCATCCCTCAGTGTTTACACTGATTTCCTTACAGACAGCGGCTTCAGTCAAAGGATGGACATTTAAGTTTGTTTCCAAAATAAAACCCTTTCACAGACTCCAGTCAACGTAACCTGGCAGGTGTCATGGAGGAAATAATCAGTCCTGTGCAATAATCGAGCTATCTCACTCCCATTAAGTGAACGTGACGTTACAGAGCAGGCGACATTTTACGATGAGGCTCAAAACAGTGTTTTTTCGATTATATGCGTTTGTCTCTCCAGACCCAGACAAAGCTTCCCTTTACAGTCTACTGAGCTCCTCCATAAGCAGCCAGAGCAGAAACAACCGCCTGAAACCTCAGTTCCTGTTGCAGCAAAAACCTGAGGCGAGTGTTAGCGGCACTCTGGGCTCTTTAAAATAAATCTGGATTTTCTTTTGCATTTTGGGTAAACACCACTTTCTACAATCTATTGTAACTATCTGGTGGATCATTTCATTCTCATGTCTTTCAAACGAAAGCCGTTTCTAACTATGTTAAGAAAAGTCATTTACACATAACGTTATTTTTAAACGAGCTGCTTGAATTGAATGCAGTTTGTTTTGAACAGACGTATTTAGGATTTTGCCATCTTTTCAAACATTCTGCACTATTTGCACACAAAACCATCTGAAGAGGGAGATGAAGTCGTCTGTGAGCACAGTGTTTCCTCCATGACACCTGCAGAGCTCTGCGACAGTCCACACCATGTGGCTCACAAAAGGGTCCACTGCCTTGTGACGGACAGACCAGGTCCACTGTGTCCATGTCAAAGGGGACACTCAGCTGATTCCAGCCGTGCTTTGACCACTCAGAAACAGGCTGTGAAGGTAAAAGTCCTTTTTACAAAGCCCACTGTGACTGTGTCCCCTTAAAAACGATTATAGATTACAATTTAAGAAAAGTTTAGGAAGTGTGTGTGGCCTTGTTTTTCTATACCATGGGGACTCAAAACCCAGAGTCACTAACATTGTGGAGACTCATCTTCATCATGGCGACCGGGCGCTGGTCCTCACAAAGTGAATCAGTGAGTTTTAGGGCGACTACATGGTTTAGGGTTAGGCTGAGGTTAGGGCTAGAAAGGTAGCGGTTACAGTTCAAGTTAGGGTACGTCTCCAGGAAATGAATGTAAGTCAACGGAAAGACCTAAGTGGCCAAAACAAGGGTAAGTGTGTGTGTGTGTGTGTGTGTGTGTGTGTGTGTGTGCGTGCGTGCGCGTGCACTCTCAGTTGTTCTCGGTGAAGTCCCGGCAGATCCCTCGGACCAGCAGCGGGATGAACTCGGTGAGGCCAGTGAACTCTCTGGTGAAGAAGGTGTGGCTTTCCTTTGGCTCTGACGACATCGCTTTGAGGTCATCCAGCGGCGCCCAGGCCACACCCACCGAGTAAATAGTGATGCCTGGTTATTGGTGGACAAGAGACACAGGTGATGTGAATGAGCTGTGACCTACGTGGTAAAGTCAGAACATTTTCGTACACCTTCAAGTCACAGTGAATTCAGCCAAACACCACCACACTGTCAGTGTATTAGGTACACCCAGCTCCTATTAGACTGATGTAGTGTGTATTAACAACGGGCTCTGAGTGACAAGGGAAACGCTATGAGGTTATAAGAAAGCGTACAAGAAGCCACGAGGGAAATGTGTAGTAAAAACTAACATTAACAACGAGATTCTTGAACAGGAAAATACTTTTTCTTACCAAAAAACATGAAGAGACTTAAAAACTACTAGAACACAAGTGACTGAACTACAGCTGCACTGATACTGGATGCATGAGACAACACAGCGTAAACAAAAGATCGTGAACAGATCCCGTAGAATGTAGTTCTTAAAGATTTACCTTGTTTGTGTGCAGCCATTGCCGGGGCTCTCGTGTCGTCATACGACTGGCCGTCTGTCACCACAATGAGGAAGTTGCGACCTCGTCCAGTTTGCCTGGAAAAGCAAATGACAACTTTAATTCTCATTCAGACATTTTCTTCCTTGGTGCTGAGAGCAGCACAACTCCCTCTGCATCCTCAGCAATCACAACCTTGGAAGACCATCTTAACTTTCTATCTGTTATCTAGGACTGGGTCCACAGTGTTTACATTCTCCCAGAGCTACACCAGTGTTCCCAGTGACTGTACTGCCTTTTCCCCCAGTGCACTAGCTACAGCACACGGTGAAGTGTAGCCTGTGGAAATAATCGTTGTCAAATTTGGTAGGTTGGGAGTCAAAGTCTTTCCTACTTTTAGAAACTGAAGTTCTCTCACTACTTTGTATTTGGTCTTCGCTCCAAGGCCATTGGTTCCTGCTCAAGACAAATCTTTAAAGGACGTCACAAATCAGAATCAGTTTATTGGCCAGGTGTGATGGACACACGAGGAATTTGACTCTGGTACATCGGTTCTCAATGTGCAAACAGTAAACCAGCATAAGGCTGTGTAATATAACAAAATAGCAGTATTAACATCAACAACCAGTGCAAACAAAGAAAAATAAACAGTATAAAGAGACAGTAAACAATGCAGACAACAAAGGAATGTTCATTGAAATGAGATAAATAGGGATAAAAACAGAGAACTTAAAACTAGAAAACTCTATGACTCTGTATGATCTATACCAGGTATATTTACAGGTGTTGCACTGAGGGTTATTGTCCAGTCATACTGTCACTGGCCAAGTGTTCATCAGAGCGACAGCCTGGGGGAAGAAACTGTCCCTGTGCCTGGTTGTCTTAGTGCACAGTGACCTGTAACGCTGTCCAGAGGGGAGGAGTTCAAACAGATTGTGTCCGGGGTGTGAAGGGTCTGCGAGTGTAAAGTTTGCTTTTTGAAAGGCTCCATAATTTTCCAAACAGCTGGAGGTTTTATCAACAGACAGGAGGAAACAATGACTTTGTTGGGGACTATTTTCACTGGTGGATGAATCCACATTTGGTGATATTACTTTGAAAGAGCTCAGTTCAGGGATTTGCTGACAGTAAGAAGATGTGTGGCGTTACCTGAACAGGTTCTGGGTGGTGTAGCTGATGGCTGCGCCAGTGGCCGTTCCTCCACTCATGTAGGAGATCCTCCTCAGGGCGCCGATGACCTCATCTTTGTTGGAGTAGTGAGACAGGCCAAACTCCAGCCTCTGTTCATAGGTGAACTGCACTGCACCTGGACATCCAACACACTCAGTCAGCCAATCGCTTCATCTGTTATTCAGTTAATTGACTGTTTCCCTCCTGTGAAGCTGACCGATGCGAGCGCCCACATCTGAGATGTCAAAGCTTCGGGCGATTCCTGCCAGGAAGTCCAGCATCAGCTGGAAGTTTCCCATGCCGACGCTGGACGAGCCGTCAATCAGGAAGCCGATGTTGACTGAGTTGTAGCAGGTTCTACCTAAAAACACACACACACACACTTTAATTTTACACATCCACATTTTCTCAGCTTTGCACTCAGTAGTTCACCACCATAACTCTAGCACACGGACCGCAGGCCAAAAAGAAGACAACATTTTGATCCAGGTCGGCATCAGTCTCACTTTGACCTGATGGAGTCCAGCCTCGCACGATACGTGGTGTGTGTGTATAACTGCAGTCAGTTTATTAGGAACCCCTGTGCCAAACTGAGTCGGTCTGATCCAATTTCTGGCCTCGTTGAGGTGTACGTTGTGCTGTGCTAATAAAGTTGCAGACTGAACTAAACAGCTGTGTTCTGGTGGTGAGTGGTGTGTCTCAGGTGTTGGCCAGGTGTAGAGGTGTCTTACTGCAGAGCAGGCTGTCCAGCGAGCAGATTCTCTGAGTGAGAGGTTTGATGTGTTTGGTGGTGCTGAACCAGCTGGGGATTGGGTAACTGAAGAAACCGTTATCTTTACACACAGCCTGTCGGAGCAGAGGGGAGGAGACGCTCTGCTGTCATGGCAACCTTACATCTCCAAGTTATGTGATAAAAATCTAATTCAGCATCTTTACATCGTTAAATGTAAAGGGAACATAAATGTGAGGTTGGACCTTCTTGGTGAAGTCCTTGTCCCGCACCATGGCGAGCTCCTCTGGTGCCGGTTTGGCCACAGACACCAAGAAGACATTGATGCCAGACTCTCGGGCCAACATGGCAGCCTCCCCCAGGTCGTCTGACGGCCACCCGTCAACCAGCACCATCATCACTCTCGGGTGACCGCGCCTCCCCCCATTGTCCTGGCTGAAGAAGGTCTCTGCTGTGTGCATGATGGCCTTACCTGAGGACAACAGAGACAAGCAACAACATATCCCATGAAACTTAGCAACGGAGCTGTCAAAGCCTGATGGGGGCTGTAGGTGATAAATGCAAATGCAAAGAAAAAAAACTATGCACAGTGATATTGTTTTATGTTATGATGATCAGGTTTCTCTGTGTTAATGTCCAGCTCAGCAGCAGGTCCTCACTAATCCACAATACTGACAGAAAACCTCGAGCACGTTTCAGCTTTTCACCAAAATCAATGAAATGATTGGTTAGCTGATCAGCAGAACATTTACCTTTTAAGTCTAATGTTCTTCTTTGCAGTTTTTCCAGTGTGATGTGCTGCTTTTTTGTGAGTAACAGTAAACACGATGCCTTTGGGTTTCTAAGATCTAAGTTGGACAAACAAGTAATTTTCAGCCATCACCTCGGGCTTTAGCAGAGTGTGATGGATGCTGTTCAGTAAACAACTGCAGAACAATCAGCAGATTAACTGTTAGCTCAAGACCTGGATGGAAAAACGTGCCGTGAACTATGAGAGATGATGGGATCAAAGGCTGATCAGGAAGTGGGTGTGACAGTCGGTTTGATCGAAGCAGGAAAAACTGGGAGCATGTCTCTGTTACTGTCTGTGTACATGTTCTAGTACTTCTACCCCTGTGATGACTGATTTTGTCTTCAAACTGAAGATGTTTATTCCAGCTGCCATTTCCTCAGAGAGTCCAGGTGAGGGGCTCAGCGGCACATGAAGCGTTACCTGTGTTGGTGTCTCCTCCCAGGTAGGCCACTTCCCTGATGGCGAACAACAGCTCTTTAGGCTGGGTGTAGTTGGTCAGTAGGAACTCGGTCCTGGGAGTGTCACTGCACATGCACACGCACACACACACACACACACACACACACAGGTGAGAAGGAGATCCTGGGTTCACCTGTGTACCAACATCTGCCAGCGTTCCAGTCAAGTTTGTGATGGTGGAAGGAAAGTTTCTGAAAAGTCTATTAGTGAAAGTCCTGCATTTAAAATCCTACTTCAATAAAAGTACAGAAGTATTACCAGCAAAATGTAGTTAGTAAAAGTACTTACAGTACAGTCAAAAACCTCATACTTTGTGATCTCTTTGGAAAAATGGAAAATACAAACCTTTAGTCTTATCAGCTGAGATTCGCGTCTTGTATTACTACTGTTGCTAACTAACTTATCTTTCATTTTAACAAGCTGGTACTTCACACCACCACCACAGTCCGTGTCTCTGACCTGGCCTGGATCAGGCCTACATGAGGTCCCGTTGGTCCGACTCTCAACACGGCAGCCAGCTTGGTGACAAAGTTCTTCTGCAGGTTGAACCTCCGCTGCCCGATGTTGTTGCTGCTGTCGATCACCACGGCGATGTCCATCTGACAGTCTGCACACACAAACACAAGTAAACCTATTTTTCACTGGAGCAGCTTGTCAAGCAGAGGTGGACGTCCTGCCTCAGCCTTACTACTGATTCACATGACTTTAAAATTAGTCAGGACATCAATCTGGGCACAGAGGTTTGGCTACTCTTACCTTTTAGTTCATCAGCTTAAACCGTACATGTGTGGCATGTGCGTCCTACTAGGTCTGCACTTGGTAACCTGTACTTTTCTCTAAGTTCATGAACAGCGTATTGATTTTTGAAGAAAGGCTCACTTTAATGTGGGTCTGCAGCAGGAGCTGGGTTTACTTCAGAAACCAATAGAATGAGTCACTTGTCCAGGGCTGGACAAACCTTCTCAGACACAGTCCACGTTCTGGAGTCTCAGTCAGTCTGTTCTGACTCTATGTCAACAAAAGGAAAACAGGAAAGTCTCAGACAAACACACAGCGTACCTTTATTTCCACCGCTCAGGGCTTTCTTCACCGAGGGCTTCTTCACCGGTTTCTTTGCTGCAACACAAAACACACACAGTCAGAGGTGGGCTGAGGTAAAAACATCCCACTGTGTCTCCAAGCTTGAGGAGAAGAGAAACATTTGGTTAAAATACTGTTAACATGAAATGAAAGGCGGTTAGGAGGACGTGGGGGAGGTCGGGCCATGGACCCAGGAGTCACGTCTGACAGCTGTTGAAGAAGTCACTGTCAGATTGTGCAAAAACACAGTTTGTTAAGTTTTGACGGCTTTAAAAACTGTGTATTTGGCCTTGGACCTCGTGTCATCTGATGCCAAAATGTCACAGTGAAGGAGACGAAACCAGACGGCGAGCAGGTGGGAACAGGTGGCGACATATGGACAATAGAAAAACACCGAACTTCCCAGCGTTTGTTAATGTTCAGGATCTTTGCCAAAAAATAAATAAATACAAAATCAGTACCAACACTACATTCTAGACTATGAGTAGTTTATACCAATGTGTATCAGTTACCTGGTTGAGCGGCTCCCGGTAGTGGTGTGGTACTGGTCACACTGGTCAGCTCTAATGGGACAGTAACAGGCTCTGGTCTCACACACACACACACACACACACACAGGACATTGCCATCAGTCTCCATAAGGATGACAAGAGTTGATTACAGTTGAGATTATAAGGGCAGTTTTCTACAGCAGTGGTGCATTATGGGAACATCAAGTAGTTCCAGCCATTAGGGGCAGTACCACAAAGTGACGCTGACTTGGCCGCTATCTTCCAAAGTCAGAAGTTGAACACGTTTTCCAACCTTTTTGACCGTCTCCCTCACATCCTGGGTCACTTTAATAGTTAGCTACCCAGCTAACTAGCTGAGTTAGCTACAACAGCAGCACACTGAATTAGTTTAAGGCTGTTTAAGTCATTAAGAGCAGGAATCTAATAAATCCTGCTGTTCCCTTCACAAACTGGTGGAGCTTAATTAACAGTTTGGATACTAGTATTTGACACGACATGAGTCACGTGACCTGCTGCTATGGTTGACCCCTCAGTGTCACAGCTCTTCTATCTTAAAACATCTACAAATAGAAATGAGATTTACAGTGCGTGTGAGGAGTGGCATGTAATTCATGGTCTTCACTAATGCACCATTCAGTCCTCAAACAAATAAATATCCGTATCTTACTATATTCAACCGTTTAACATCTGCTTTCAGCTATAGAGTGTCAGAACGTGCTGAGTTACTATTACAACAGAGAACAGCAGAGCGCCTGCAGCCTGCTTCTCCTTTTAAATCACTTTATCAGTCAGTAAATTCTAAACATAAACTATGTGTCAGCCGTCTGATTTTCTCAGGACTAGATCATCTGAAGATACTTTGTACAAAAGGTGATCCATAGTCTGATTTGTTTGACTGCACTGCACAGACAATAATCAACTAATCAATCAACAACCAATAATGGCCAGAGCAGCTCCACCCACTGCTGAGGTTGAAGGAGGTGGTCCAGCGAGACAGGGCCTGTGACTGGATGCCGTGGGCATAGGAGCTCAGGTAGTTGTGTCGTCCCTGCAGCTTGTGGACCCTGACGGGGCCCCCAGATGGACCCAGGACGCCCCTGTGAGCAGATACATCACACTGGAAAACTAACGGAATCAAAATGGACATAAAGAGACAATACAGAGGCCTGACTGGCCTGACTCTGGTTTACAGTACAACTGTCCTTTAACAAGTTGGAGATGATTTTTGCAGTTTTTAGTTCTTTATAAAAACACTGCAGACACAAGGTCATGGCCTGATTAACCTCCTCCTCCTGCACAGGGCACTGGTAGAGGGGCCCAGCAGATTAGAGAAGTAGTTTGGTTAGTATAATATGTACACCACCACCCAAGGGTGTGGGGTCACGTCCATGTTTGCAGTAGTTGTCAGTGTGATCCAACAGGTGAACAAACCTGTGTCCTTCTCTCTACAACTGATGTCCAATGCTGTTGGGACAGACAGCGCTGCTGCAGACGTTCCCACAGATGTTGTACCTGTTGGCTGCTCTGCTTTCACTCTTCACCTGGAAAGTCTGGACCCTGTGCTGCCGGTCCATCACTGTTCTGTCCTCGTCCACAGCCTGGAGCTGTTTGTGGCTCATCCTCCTGCTACAGGGTGAAACCTGAGAAGCTCTGACTCCCTGTGGTCTTGGCCTTTTTCCTAATGATGCTTCAGAGGGAGCAGTAACACAGTGTTTTCCAACAGACACGATCTGTTGTCAGCCATCACCAACAGTCGAGACACCCGTGGTAACTGTTGCATCAGTTTTCAAGGCTTGTTTTAATCCTCCATGATGCTCTGAGCTCCTCTCCTCTTCCTCCATGCAAGCTTTTCTTTTCTCCTCTCTCTCCTCTATCCACTCACCCCAACCGGTCGAGGCAGAAGGCCGCCCACCAAGAGCCGGGGTCTGTCGGAGGTTTCTTCCGTTAAAGGGAGTTTTTCCTCCCCACTGTCACCGAGTGCTGCTCAGGGGGTTTGATAATAATAATAATAACAGTAAAGGCCAGACCTGACTATGTAAAGTGGCCTGAGATGACTTTTGTTGTGATTTGGTGCAATACAAATAAAACTAAATTGAATTGAACTACTTCACTGTTGCAGAACAGATGGAAGTTCACCTGTTACTGGATCCTGAAACAGGCCTGGTTTATATGAAGTTTCCATACAGTTTTAGTTTTATGGTGACTATTTTGTTTTACCTCTGGCAGTTTACTCCTTTGTGTTGTACCATTTAAAGTTCTTCACTAGACTTGAACTGCTTACATGTTAATAAAAACTGGAAAAACAGGGGTGTTCTCCAACCTTTGACTGGGCGGGTGTCTTTGCATACATATGTATATCACGAGGCTTTCTCTCCATACCGACTCTGGGGCTCTGCATAAAAACCTCCTCAGAACAGGAAGCATTGTACGGTGTGAGACTTCAGAGATGGACGACAGGAAGCTGAGACGTACAAAGGAGTGAGCAACGGGTCACTCAAAGTCTTTCCTCTCGAGGCCCCTGGAGGCCATCTGCAGAGGAAGGAGGTCGTTCAGGGGTCAGAGCTTAATCCTTCAGTCCTGCACATTCCTTCATGGTGTTGGTGTTTTGTTGATGATGTCTGCTCCACGTGTCCATAACTCACCCAGCGCACCCCAAACACTCCTCACTCACCTCACTGCTTTTGCCACTGCAGCACCTCTGGCAAAACTTTGCACAAGAGGGAAAACAGCCTAGTTTTACACTGACGTCTTCAAACTAGTTCTCGTTTGTGCTTTGTTTAAAATAATAATGCATCTGACAGACATAAAGAAACTAAGACAGACTCCTACCTGTGTACAGCAGCTCCACAGACGGACGAGACAGAGGCGTAGGTCCCCGTCCCAAACACTGACACTCTCCACTGGGTGCAGTCTGGAGGACATAAGACCACCACACTGTCCTCCATCAGGTCAGCTCCACGAGTCACACAGGTCACCGGGAGGGGCACTGGTCCAAAAGGAACATCAACATTTCAGGAACAGTTTCTTTCTGACAGTGAGAGGGTCAGATGGGAAGAGGATCAACAAGCCAGGTGCCAACATGTTAGTTTAGCGGTGTTTGGACAGACCTGGCTAGCTGTGTCCAGGTTTTAGGCAAAGCTAACCACATTCTGACGTCTCACTCTCAACAAGTCGGTTTCCCAAAATGTCATACTGTTCCTTTAATCTTTGATTTTTATAAAGTAAGTTGTAGTAAAATGCAGAACAAGTCGCATCCTCCTCCTCCTGCTTTTGTTTCATCTGTAATTCTCTTTCTTCTTCTGGGAGATTTGTTTTAGTCTGTTTATAAGTTAGCTCAGGAGGTTATGTCTCACTTATGGCTTCCTACCTCACAATCTTGTAATTACTAATTAATTACAAATTACAAAATAAGATCCTCCCATTTTGTTACTGTTCTAGTTCTATTTTAATGTATTTTATAATGTAGATTTGATGTACATTTGCTTCTTCCGTACATTATTTCCAACAGACTAGGAGGTCAGATTATCTCTGTGCAACAAAATACTTCACTCAGTATTATCACGACTGCATCGATGTTGCTCAACATCCTGCACCGTAGACTTGTGCTGCAAAAAACACAGTTTAAAATATTCTTTAGAATATTTCAGAGTGCCGTTTGAAGGTGAAAAAAATCACCTGGATCACCTTTATTTTGTCACTGATATATTAAATGAACACACACAACGCCTTTAAATAAATGAACATGACTCAACAACTGTAAACCAACGAAACAGACGGCAGAGCACCAGAAGGGTTTACTGTTACAGACACATATTCATCGGAGAGCCAGGAATCCATTACAATGCAGTCGGAATAACAAATGTCTTTGAAAGGACTGACGATGATAAAAGGAGCTTTTCATCCGTTTCATCTGCCGGAGAGAACAGACGGTGGTTAGTTTGAAGTTCAGACAGTTTTTGGATTCAGTAAAAACAAAAACAAAATTCTGAGGATCCACAACAGGTGACACTGGGAGGTTTGAAGGGTCGTCTGTCCGTGCAGAGACACTGCAGAAGAGCTTCTGGAAACCACTGACATAATCCAACATGAAGAAGAAGAGGCAAAAGACACATGAAGGTGGGAGAAGGAAACGGACACTTTCTCCTCACTGTTGTCATAGCAACGTGTGCATTTCTGCTTCGTGATTGGGTTACAACTCATTTTATCCATGTTCAAACACAAATGACCTGATCACACTCCTGCTCCCCAGAGGAAGAACCTCCCTGTAGCGCCACCCTGAGGACAAATGTACATTTATACCCTCAAGTATTTTCACATGTGAGCCCTGAAAAAAAAAATCTACCACCTCCATGAGCCTCCCACCTGAGATGGTGCACCTGGACTGCAGCTGAACAAAAGAGACGTCAGGACACAAGACAAGGTCGCCCATTGTTCATGAAATCTCTGGCACTGCTTGTGTGTTCAACCTTTTCATGTGAAAAACAACTGAATAAATGTAATGACTCTTAAATATTTTCTAATGATCAGCCAATTGTTTCAGTCCTAATGTTCTTCTACCTACTGTACCTGGTGAGATGTTGTCAAACCACACTGGTTTAGAACGGTGCCTTATATTTTCACATTACTGTCGCTGCTCATGTTTCCTGTTAACGTGGTGTGACACCATCAGCATCAGCAACAGATGTAGATGTGGAAGGAGAAAGGGACTCAGGACTCACCGCTGGACTCTGAACCAAATGCTGAGGAGGGCAGGAAGGAAACGGCTGCAGAGGAAGACGAGGATCACAATGATGAGTCATTAGGTACATGACACTGGCAAAGAGAGAGAGAGAGAGAGAGAGACTGTCTGCTTGTGAAAAGGTGAGCGTACCTGTCAGAGGCAGCAGGACAGACAGCGGCAACATTTCTTCACCTGAAACAGACGGACCTCAGTTTACTGGCTCCAAATATGTCACCAGCCGGTAAAACGGTCAATACATCAGGACTACACTGTGAATTCCAGTCAGCAAACCAGTTAGTAAACATACAAACACACGACACTAGCGGATGAACCAGGCAGCAAATGGTAGATTGACCTCTGCATCGGTGCACAGTCAGTAAACAGTCAGCCAATCTGTAAATAGGTAACAAAGTCAGGCGACTAGTAAAGACTGGGTAGACTGGTTAAGTCTACAGTGAACCAGTCAGTAAAGAAAAACATTTTAAAGCCTGGCACAACAGTCAGTAACATTAATGTAAAATAATGTAACCCCCCCCCAATAAAAACAGTCAGCAAAGCAATCAATCTATTATACAGAAAGCAAACCACTCATGTTGTGGGCAAAACAGTTTGTAAACCAGCCAGTTAATGGTTCAACAAGATAATTTATCTGGTAAGGAATGACTAAGTCAGCAGATATCTCAGTAAACCAGTCAGCCACACACATCTTCTTCACTTTAACAAGGCAGTCAGCACACCAATAGTGGTCACGGGTAAACCAGGCAGCAAACCAGGCAGAAACACTTAAACAAGGTCAGTAAACTAGTAAAATCTGACTGGTTAATGGTGAATTCAGCAAACCAGGCAGTAAGCTAAGTTCAACATGTAACAAATATCAAAACAGTCAGTAAATTAGTTGGCAGTAGGAGTAGAAAAGAAACAGTTGGTAAGTAAACCTGTCAGTTCACCAGTTAACAGATAGTAAACCAGTCACAGCTCAAGCAGCTAAGTGGTTTACTGGCTGGGGGCTCAGTAAACAATATGTAAACAATTAACCTGTTAGTGGTCGTTCAGCCAGTCAGTAAAGTAGCTGCTGTAGGAGCAGCAAAGACAACAGTAAGGAAAGCAAGACATTTCAGACGACAAGTAACTCAGCATGGATTAAAACCAGCTAGCCAGGCAACAAACAGTCATTCAGTATCTGCCATGTCTGTGCAAAGAATCAGTAAACTCAGTCTTACTGACTGTTTCTCCAGCAGACGTCTTTGAGGAAAACCGCTCTGACTGTTCACACTGTATTCCCTGAAAGCAGCAGCAGGCGGTAAGCAGATGATGCAGAGCTGGTGTTGATTGCCCAGCGAGAGAGAGCCAGTCCTTTAAATAACCACACACACACACACACACACACACACACACCTTACAGAGGAGGGGTGGGCGGAGCTTCGGCCACAGGTTGACCTGAGAGAGGGAGAGAGAAAAACCAGTCATGGCTCCACAGTAAACTCTGCTGCTTGGGTGGAATGTGACTATTTAGTAGCTGCTCTTCTTTCACTGCATTTGTTTGTTTATTGTTTCATGAAGTGATGAATGTGTGTTAAAGGATGAAGCACAGGTCAGAACAACCAGGACAAAAATCATCACAAGGCAGGTGCCACACTCACACAGACCCTGGAGGAACAGGGCGGCTCATGACGAGTAACAGCTGAGAAGAAACTGACTGAGTGGAAACCCAACCAGCAGGGTCACTGATCAATCAGCTGATCACCGTCCTGATCATCTGATTGATCCGTTTATCCCCAGAATGTCAGACACTGGGGAAAAGTCCCACTGTGACTCTCCAGAGCCAAAGGTGACGTCTCCACACGTCTCGTTGTGTCCAACCAACAGATCCACAGAGATTCAGCTGATTCTCATGTCTGACAAAGAAAAGCATCAGCTCCTCACATTAAAGAAGGTGGAACCAGAACATGTCGGTGACTGTTGCTTCTAGATAGCTGAGGTTCATTTTCTACCAGTGAACTGACTCATGGCTGCAGCTCTAGGTCACTGAATGGCTTCATGAGGACGACACAGGGGGTCGGACACAGAGGATCAGACACAGTGAGGGGATCTGGTCTGGAAGGAGGAGGTTTCCTCCTCCGACAGAGGAGACCTGACAAGGCCCTGGAGACTCGGCCATGCTGGGCACTGGGTGGGGGATTGTCCTCTCTGCTGTCACCAGCTGTACATGTCGGCCTCGGGCCAGGCGGAGTCAGCTCAGCAATGTTCGAGTGGAGCACACCTGGGTGCAGGTACACAGGCCAGAGAGCAGCAGTCAGGAATCCAACTTGGCCAGTTCCCAGCATGCAGCTGGTGAAATGAGAAGGCTGAAGAAAATGTCACAGGGAGGAATGTAACAGTAGCAAAGGAGACCATTTTACACGGTGCTGATAGATAGATGTGAACTACTGCTAATAATGTGAACAGTTCTTCATACCACATCTGTCTGCAGCTAAATTGTTTTGGTTGGAAAATCAAATGAATGTTTGGACTTGGGCAAAACGGTGCCAGTGTGTTTTGAGGTGTTTGCTGGTTCTGTCCGTGGGCGTCTGCTTCTCAGCAACACTGGGAGGGAGGCTTCAGTCGACCCAGACTTCTAGGAGCCCTTCAGTATCAAGAACATCAGCGGTGCTACTGTGTAATTAATGGCAGCAGTTGTTCATCACAACTCAAAAGTAGATGACACTTTTCATGTTATTTGGAAAAGGGGCTTGTCATTCATTGACAACTGTTTCAACTAAGGAGATAATCCTCAGTATATTACTGTGAATTACTTCTTACCTTAAAATCCCATTACAACAACCTTAGTTAAAGTATTAATCACATCAGTGATGTTGTGGTTACAAATGAAAAGATTCAGGTTAACAGCCAGTGATGTTTCAGGTTTGACTCCACTTTTGTTCCTAAAGTTCCACTTCTCCACTCACTTTAGCTGGTTCTCTGATGAAACCCTCATTAGAATTAATTACTGTTGTCACAAGCAACCACGACAACTCGTGCTCTTATCCGGCCTGAGCCAACTGGAGCAGCAGAATCAGCCTCATGGTTCACCACTTAATGAAACAGAAAACACATTAAAATATGGAAGAATGTGGTTGTAGGCCACAGGATATGGAGTGTTTGTTCTGCACTGACAAAGCACTGGTCTGAGGAAGCCAGTGTAAAGCAGGGAGATGTGACCTCAAACACCAAACGAGTGTGAAATGTGGTATTTCAATTAGCCTAATAACTTGTACAGAGTTTGGTTAGTAGCTTGACCACCACTACGCTGTTTATTCCTCTCTAACTTGTCTTATTGGCAAGGAGCCCTGAAACAGTCAGTCTACAGTAAAATAAAAAAAAACTAAGTCTTCAAAAGATCTATTTCTCCGAGTGTCAAAACAACAGACCACATGCACACATTTTCTATAAACCAATCAGCAGCCTCATCAGCTGCAGTTCCTCTAATGTCCACTAGTCTCTTACTGGACTGGAGTGAATAGGAAAACCTTTAGCTTTTCTCTAGGAACGCACACTTGGTTTGTATTTTCTAGGAGAAGTTCGGACTCTGAGTATGAGAGAGGAAGAACGACGTGCATGTGCAGGAATGACTGAGTGTGAAGATTGTGTTTGTCTTTAAGTGACAGCAGCCTCTAGGAGGTGTAGCACTTCAAAGATGAAGCTGGTGATTTCTTCGGTGTCGTTCCCCACCAACCGCGTCCAGAGACCAGCAGCACCAGTGAACGTGGTGTCCTCACCGTAATGTGTGTGAGTCCAGACCCTGGTCCAGCTCATCGCTCTGGGCCGTAGACCTCCACTGTTGTCCACCAGCTATTAACCCCACACACATCCAACACGTTGCTCTGTGCAGTGAGGAGCTGATGGAGCAGAGACCAGTGACTCTGTCTCACTGCAGACACTGTACAGAGTGACGGCCGCTCTCAGCCTGTGGAGCTGTTGAACTACGTGAGTAAACAAAACGAACACTAAGGTCGTGAGACTGCTGAGCTTTATTAGTGCTGAGAGGGAGAAACAAACCACAACGATGGCAGGAAAGGTTCAGAGTTTATATAAAACCAAGTGGAATAAAGGAGCGAGGGTTCACAGAGAGTCGGTGTCCACTTCACTTCTGGCCGAGCAGGGAGAGCTGTGGGGAGGAACGAGATGTCACTACAGGCACGAGCCAACCTGAACAAGAAGATTTCAGAAAATGGTGGACTGTTCCTTTAATGCCTATTTTGCTGAGCAGGTGAACAGGCAGCCAGGTGTTGCCTCACCTGTTTGATGAACTGAGCGGCGTTGAAGAGTTCACTGCAGCCGTAAACCACCTTCTTCCCCTGTTTAGACTGAAACAGAAAATGACACCGGCGTCACAGAGGTTCAGTTTTTATTTCCTGACACTGGACTGACCTCTCAGCTCCATATCAAACATCTAATACAGTCCAGATGCCTGCTCCAGTCACACACGAGGAGATAGGCTGCATTTTCCAGGGAAAGAATCTTTCAACTAATTTGCTGGAATCTTTTCTCCTAACTTCCTAAAAATCTGGCTGCAACAGACACGGAGAAAGTGTCAGCTGCTGCTTGTCACAACTTTTAAGACAAAACTAGGAGATTATGTGAAAACAGTTCATAAATACAAATCAGACTTTGACACATGGATCTGCTCATAATCAGTGAACATTAACCGATGTCCGTGCTGCATATGTAGGAAATCTTTGAGCTCTTGCATTTCAGACTTTTCAACAAACAGAACCCAGTCCTGCTCCTCAGCAGCAGGTTTAAGGAACATTTACTTATTACCAGGTGGATCTACGGTGCACGGCAGCTCAAAGTCACCAAGAATCCAAATTAAGAATTTGTTAGTTTGATGGACTTAAAACCTCAAATCACACAAGCAGCGACAAACACTTTCTCCATCTCCCAGTGGCAAACTGTGCAGGCTTGTCGTGGAAATGTCCAGATAAACATGTTCCATATCAAACATGTCAAATAGGTGTCAGGAAAATTAGTTGGAAAACAAAAGCACTGATGTACCTTTAAACAATCATGTGAAAACATTCAGATGGATTCTACAGTGAATGGCAGAAGAAGAAGAAAAGAGATGAAAGTAGTTCTAGTCCTCGCAGTACTGCCTACAGTAGTACTAGCAGTATTACACTACCTTGGCGTAGTCCACCAGGTTCTGGTACTCGATGTAGTTTCCTCCTCCGACCACAAACATGATGGCCTGAGACAGAGAGAGCAGAAAAAGTAAGCAGCGTTTTTAAGTTGGTGTGTCAAACAATGAGCACACAGAAAAGCCAAAGGTGTTACAGGTTTACCGTTTGAGAAAACTATGAAAAACTGCAAATATTCACAGCTGAAAGGCTGGTAGGCGTGAACTTGGGGCATTTTTGCTTAGAAGTGTATAATCTGTGTTTTAGTCCTCGGTACTGTTGCTGCCTTTGTCGTCTGCTTGTGTATCCTGTGCCACCTTTGCAGGGTGAAGAATAACTAGTTTCCTCTGTGGGATTAGTAGCTGTGCAACCTCACTGATCCTACAACTCTCCGTTTTCCTCAGTGAAGCAACAGTTAACTGCAGGACCTCTGCTGAACAGCATCATTTCCAGTCTGTCTTCTTTTTCAAGCTGTTTGTCCTGGAAGCTGAAACTAATTCATCAAACTAAAGTCCAGAAACCGAATCTGTGCTCACCTCCTGAAACGGGTTCTTGTTCCTGGGAATGGAGCTGAACAACAACAAGAGGAAGAAGAGATGATGAGACATTCCTGAGCTTTCTATGAGTCACCGGCAGTTCCTAGCTCTGATAACACTGATCCAGCAGGATTATTGATCTGATCTGACTGAAGTGAAAGGCGGTCGTACCTCTCGCTGCCTCGCAGCATCTTTGGGTCAAAGTATCGATAGTCGTCCGTTTCCTGAAAGTGAGAAAAACACGTGTCAGCTGATTGAGTTGGTCTCAGTTCCACACTCATGATAGTGGATCGAACTGGTTGCAGTGGTCAGGACAGCTGGTATTTATTCCTAACTCCTGCACCTGCCAGCTGCTATAACACTGTCAGATGAAATGTGTTGGTGGTGACAACACATTTCATAAGGACTGTTCGGCTGAGGTTCAAAGTGCTTAGTGACAGTAAACGAGGTTATACAGTCACTTCAGGACGGATCCAGAGCCCTGAACTTTCTGCATGTGTTATGAATTTCAGGTGGATAACTGAGGTTTTCGCCCATCGACCTACACCCACCGACTGTCACTGACAAAGTGAAAACATGGTCTTAGAAATTTACACTGAAGTCTGTCATTTACAAAAGTATTTAAATCGTTGATTTGGTAGAAGCCACACGTGGTCGCTTGTCAACAGTAAACCGAGCCAGGACCCGTCCACACATCAGGGTCATGTCTTTTTAAATTTAGCCAAAGTGTTATGTAATAGCGGCACTGAGCATTTTTGCCATTATTAGGACCCGCTCTGTGAGGTCCAGGCAAACCTATAGAGACAAGTATGTTGTT